AAAAAAAAAAGTACAAATTAGTGTAACAACAAATTTTATGCAAAACATAAAATTTTTGTACAACATTTTGTAACAACAAATTTTATGCAAAAAAAGTACAATTAGATAGCAAAAGCTTGTATATATAACAGATGTGACCGCGTACTTACTAGCTACTGTTGAAAGCAGAGATAATGGTTGACAAGCCTTACTGCAGAATGAGCTACACTATCGGCTGCTTCTTGTGTAGATGCTTTAGCATACACCCTAACCACATCTTCTGTTCCTGAGGGTCGTATAAAGCACCTTCCTCGTAGATATTTAGCTGACGAAAAAATAACCAAATAAGAATTTCATTTGGATAAAAATGGACAAATCCCATGCAGGTAAATGTCGTATGTAATGAAATTAATACAACCATTCAGTAGTGGTTTAAGCTCAGTAAGCAAGTTTTTTCTTTCCTTTTCTTATTAACATTTTTGCAAAAGATAATCTTTTGTAGAGTTTATCGTTTCCCTTAGGTTCATACTACGCTTACCATCTTTCTAACAACGTACCACATATCTCAAATTTGATTTATTTTCTTCAATCAACTTATATTTTTGTTTTTTCATAACAAAGTAATATCTATCATTATATTAAAAGATTAACCATTTAACACTTTTAGCAAGTTTTTCCCGCTAAATACATTTAATGTCTCTTCAAAATAGAGCAACATTAAATGTTGCCCTTAAATCATGGCAGTTGTTAATTTAGTTTGGAGAAAATCGTGGTAACTAAAACAAACAACATTAATTACGACTGATTTAATATTTAAATGGTAAACAAATATTACTTTTTTATAACTGATTTAAATTTACATCTGTTTAAAATAAAAAACTATTTTTGTAATTTCAACAAATTTATACTTTTTAATGTACGGCTGATTTAAAATTAAGAATTTACTTTTGTATTTTCACAAAAAATCGTATAAAGAAGTATGGCTAGAATAATAATAAAAAATTAATTTGCTAAACCATATTTTGCACTCATAGATACGAATTCTCATCAAATTCAAGATTTAAAATTGTGAAGAATGTATATATATGTGGACTGATTGAAGATATATGATTCCTTAAATTAAGGAATTTTTTTCGGTAAAAAAAAATATAAACTTTAAATATAGATTTTATTAGTAGTGTATACCAAAGAATATTGTTACATTTAAAATTCCTATGAAGAAAATTCTATTAATTTTCAAATTCAACATCTCATAAAAATAATATAATACACATTTACATTCTATGAAACAATATTTAAAACCCACCGTTCAACATGCATAAAATGTAACATGAATAATTTTAACTTTCTAAAATCAGTACACAATTTGCTCGATATGTACTAATAGTCTAATAGTTAAGAGTTAATATTTGCTATGACATCTATTGGTTGGAAAGAATTCCATTTTGTATGGAATTCGAAATGAAAAAACATATTCTGAAAATCAAATCTGGTTTACAGATCGATTTCTTAATGGCCTTAAATTATGCAAAAATATATTGTTTCAGTTTTTAGGATTCTTTTTTATGATCTCAGTCTTTGCATTATTGAAATCTATACTTATATAAAAAGTCATCATATTTACTAGAAATAGTAGGCAGAAAAGCCAAAGGTAATTAATGCTTGCTGGAAATAGAATAATGATATTAATTATAAATTTGTTTTGGTATTTATAGGCTTGACATTAAAGATTTGTTATTGGATAAAAAACAGAACCGATTTTTTTACCTTTGCTAGAAAAGTCAAAGGTAAGTATAGATTTGTTTTATCCAATAGCATCGTTTTAGTTAAGAAAATCTCATCAAATCAGTTTTATATGTCAAGCCTATGAATAAAGATTTATTCGGTCAAAATTAAATCTTTATCTTACGTCACCCATAAATAAAGTAGATGTCAAGCCTAAATTGAAGGGTTTAGTTGTCTATATAGTCATTGATTTACGTAAATACATCTAATGTTTAAAGTTTGTGTAGATTGAAAATTCCTTCTTATCTTTTTACAAAAAATCTTATTATTATTGTATGGAAAATCAAACTCATAATGTTGTCGAATACTATCTTATTGTATAATTTTCCTGCGTATTATAAAACTTTTATTGAATATTGCATTTTATAATATAGTATTCTTCAAATAAATATATCCCGTGCCACGCACGGGTCACATACTATATATATCCCGTACATTTTTCTGTATTCATGTATATAATTATAAGTCTGGATAAATAGCCTTAAAATTATGCACCCCGTGCATCGCACGGGCTCTGTACTAGTTTCCATGTACGGGTAAAGAGTTTTTTACCTGTTTCAGCATCAATGGCTTCTTGTATACCAACAGGACTCACAACTATAGTTTCTGCTTTGGCAGTAATTACAGCTGTCCCATCAACAACTTTCACCTGAAGAGTGAAATACATGTAAGTGTTTGGTTATCATGATTGGAAAAGGCGCGCATTCTGAACAAAAAAAAATTACTGTTACACTACTTTTGCATATAATGCCTCCATTTCACAATTAGAGCTAAAACAATTCCTAAATTTGTCAAGCCGAAGCGTAAACAACTATTAAAAAATATTGGTCGGACATTTATAAATTACACGGAATATAATATATAAACAGAATTTTTTCAATTACATAAGCCCAGATAATCAATGTCTAGGAGTTGGCAAACCTTAAGTTGCCTGCTCGGTAAATCTTGATAGAGCCCATTCCATTTATGAATAGACCAGCCCATATGCTGCAAGATAGCGTCCACAACAGCCTGATTAATCAACTTACTCACAGCCAACAATCTCAAAGCCGCCTTGTGTTGATCCGAACCTGGAAAGAAAAGTAAATACCACAAAACAGAGTAAAAACAACAATGAATAATCATGATATTAGAAAATGTACTTCAAAATAGAAAAAACTAAATTGACCTTCTGATGATGATGATGAAAGTTCGTTGTTTTTAGTCTCCAACCAGGACAGAAAATTATCTGAAAACAAGATGGCCCCATGCCCATTTGCCTCAAAATATATGCCGATATCAAACTCAGCGGCTTTTTCGTGAAGGTATTTGACTCCTGTTGGAGTCAACACAACCTCGAGCCCCAACTGTTTCAAGTAATCAGTGGAGGCCCCGTTAGCATAAGCTGTCTGTACTAGAGCAAGAGATGTTTGATAGGAATTATTGGCATTTTTTCCAACTTCAGGCCCATTAAAAATGCTTAATTGGTCCTTGAGAAATAAAGCAAACAAGGACAGTATTTTGTCCCCATCAACAAGGTCAATCTTGTAACTATTTGGTAAAACAGAGAAGTATATGAGCCGATCAGCATCTCCATCTAAACTGGCACACCTGAAACACTAGAGACAAGTTTGTAAATCGAAATTCCTTTTAGATCACAGGAGAAAACCATAACTTAAAATAAATTTACATGCCGGATGAAAAAAAAATGCTTTGGACAGGCAACAATTACAATATACTATAGACAAGTGACACCTGTTGAGAAATTATTAAAAGAATAGAAGATAATATTAAACCCTAAGGTCAGGAGGTTAGGGGTATTTTTTAACAAAGAAAGGGAAAAAGAAAAGAACAGAAATTCCCCAGTGAAGTTTCAAAGTTAGAGAAAACGCATTGAGGTTTGATTTCCTTACGTTTCCTGCCTGCATTCTTGGAACTACATCGGTCTTTTTTTGGCAATTACGCAAAATACTGGTAGTGTTTGTAATTACCCAAAAATGGAGAAAAAAGACTACATGAATGCAGATTTATTATTAAGGCGCTTTGATATGACTAGAAAGATGGTGATTGCATATATGAGTTTCTTCACCTCACTTCAGATGCGTTCAAATGATTGACGTTTACCAGTAAAGAAATTTTGGATCATTCATGGTGAAGAGTAATAAATGACAATATTGTATTTTTTGATATTCTTCGTTTTTTGTGAAAATACAAAGAAGATGATAATACCAATTACAAGGAGCACCTATTTATACTACCCTTAGAACAATCTAGAGAATGGACAGCTCATAAATAAAACAAAAGGGATTACAGGCTAATATGCCAAATTGTTGCTGCATTTGTATCAGGTGCCCGTTAGCATCATTTGTCCTTTTGCATGCTGTCATGCAACACGTCTCCCTCATGCCTTTTTGATTCCTTTGTTAGTTGAGCTGGACCCACAGTCATACTATCCACATTTGTATCCTCGTCATTGCTTGCAGGCCAATGCTGACGTGTAAATCCCTTTGTCTTTTATCCTCCCTCAATTTGAACATCGATTGAGAAACAACATTAAGTTGTGCTCGAAGACGATTGAAAAATTGGCCACTTAGAGGTTTAGTCAAGATGTCAGCAGCTTGGTACAAGGAGGGCACATGCTGGATAGAAATTCTTTTGTTGTTTACCTGCTCTCTCATGAAGTGCATATCTACCTCAACATGTTTGGTTCTAGAATGCTGTATAGGATTAACAGCCAAGGAAATAGCTCCTTTATATCAACCCAAATCACTGATGGAGTTTTGTTTTTGAACTATAATTCTTTGAGAAGGGATTGAAGCCACAAAACCTCACATGTGACTGATGCCAAACTTCTTAACTCAGACTCAGTGCTGGATCTTGATATCACATTCTGTTTCTTTGAGCTCCAAGCAACCAAATTCTTTCCCAGAAAAACACAAAGGCCTGAAGTTGATTTCCTATCATCTAGGTCTGAAGCCCAATCTGCATCAGAGAAGGCTATGATTCTATCATGAGGACCCTTATGAAATTGAAGTCCATAATCTGAAGTTCCACTGAGATATCTCAAAATTCTTTTTAGGGCCTTAAAGTGGCAGTTTGTTGGACTTTGCATGAATTGGCTTAGACGGTTAACACTGAATGCTATGTCTGGTCTAGTTATGCTAGCATATTGAAGCCCTCCAATCAAACTTCTGTAATTATAGCCATCCACTATAGGTTGTCCCTCAAATTTTGAAATAGGTGCAGTCACCATTGGAGTGTTGAGAGGTTTGTTGTCCTGCATTTTGGCTTTAGCAATAATGTCTTGGACATAACTTTTCTGAGATAAGAGAATTCCATTTGAATTTCTTATCACTTCGAGACCAAGAAAATAGCTCAGTTCACCTAGGTCTTTGAGAGAAAATACCTTAGAGAGATCATTGATGACTTGCTGAACATAATTGTCTTCACTTCCTGTGATCACAAGATCATCAACATAAGTGAGAATGAAGGTTGAAGACTTCCCTTTATGCCTGAAGAATAATGAAGAGTCTGCTTTAGAGACTTGAAAACCAAGAGACTCAAGTACAGAAGACAACTTTGAGGACCAGGCTCTAGAAGCTTGTTTTAAGCCATAAATTGACCTGTTTAGCTTGCATACAAGGGGTTTTCCACATGAGTCAAGGACTTCAAAACCTGATGGTTGTTCCATGTAGAGATCAGTGTCCAATTCACCATATAAGAACGCATTATCTATATCCACTTGCCTGAGGTTCCGAGAATTTGACAAAGCAATGGCAAGTATGGTTCTAATGATAACTGGCCTTATAACTGAGCTGTAAGTATCTGTATAATCAAAGCCCGGCTGTTGAGTGTACCCTTTTGCCACTAACCTAGCTTTGTGTCTTGCCACAGTACCATCAGCATTCCTCTTTACTTTAAACACCCATCTGCTTCCAATCACATCTTTATGTTTGGGAGTTTCACACAAAGACCAGGTTTTGTTTCTCAGCAAAGCATCATACTCCTTATTCATGGCATCCTTCCATTCTGGAGTTTCAAGAGCCTCAGCAACATCTCTAGGTTCTCTCACATTTTCCTTTTCCTTCAATTTGGTTTGGTGAGAGTAGATTTTTGGTTTATGAATTCGTGCTTTAGATCTTGTGATCATAGGGTGAGCATTGTCCTGCAGAAGCTCATTAGTTCTCTCATAATTGTCAGAAGTAGCTTGAGTCTCATCATTTCTTTCCATTGGTAAATCTATAAAGATGTCTCCAATAGGAATGCATGAAGATGAAGTAGGGCTTCTGGTATGAAGGGAATCTGGGGTATGAGATGACTGGTTCTAGTTTCATGATGTGGAGTGGAAGAATTTGTGTTGATTGGTGAGTGTTTCACAGGCATGGTGACTGGTGTTTGATGAATGATCTGAGGATTAGTAGTGTTTATTGGATGAGAGGTTTGTTTTTGAAAATAAGGAAAAACAGTTTCATCAAAGTGGATATGTCTAGTAATGATGACCTTACCATTAGGAAGAAGGGCCTTATATCCCTTATATTGTTGGCTGTATCCAAGAAAGATAGAGGGCTGTGTCCTAGGTTCAAGTTTATGCTTATTGTAAGGCCTTAAATAGGGAAAGCATAAGCAGCCAAATACCTTGAGATGAGTGTAATCCGGCCTCCTTCCTGTCAGCAATTCCAATGGTGATTTATAGTTGAGGATTTTTGAGGGAAGCCTGTCTATCAAAAAGGAAGCTGTAAAGAATGCATCATCCCAGTGTTTGTAAGGAAGGTGGGATTGAGACAACAAAGATAAACCCATTTCCACAATGTGTCTATGCTTTCTTTCAGCAAGGCCATTTTGTTGGGGTGTGTAAGGGCAAGAAATTCTATGAGCAATGACATGGTTGAGAAAAAATTGGGAAAGAGCTTTAAACTCAGTCCCCCCATCACTTTGGACAATTTTTATCTTTTTGTTAAACTGATTTTCAGTCAGATTTTTTAAATGAATAAAGGCATCATGAGTATCTGATTTAGCTTTCAGAAGATACATCCAAGAATGTCTGGTTTTGTGGTCAATGAAATTCACATAATAGTGATAACCATTTAAAGACTTTATTGGGGCAGGACCCCACAAATCTGTGTGGATCAAATCAAGAACGTCATAATCATCATTAACAGAAATAGGAAAGGGAAGTTTGTGAATTTTTTCTTGTAAACATGAATGACAAAGGTTCTTATTCCTATTGAAACTGAAAGGAAGATTACAACTGGATAAAGCTCTTTGAATGATATCAAGAGGAGCATGTCCTAGTCTAGAGTGCCAAGTGGCAAAATCTTCACTTTCTTTTTAGAGATGGTTGATAGAGACTGAATGTGGTTGTTGAGGGCTTTGAACTGGAAGGTGATCACCATTGGCATTGGACAGATTGAAGGTGTAAAGGCCATCTTTAACTCTCCCTCTTAGTAGGGTCATTCCTGAAGTTTGGTCCTTCACAAGGCAGCAGTCATGGTGAAACTCAAAATAAACATGATTATCAAGTGCAAATTGTGAAACACTTATAAGGTTTTTGGTAATTTCTGGAACAAAAAGCAGATTATTGAGAAAGAACTGAGGGGAATCATGATCCTTTGAGTTAATGATAAAATTACCAATATGAGAAATTTTGAGACTCTTACCATTTCCAACTTGCACCTTTTCAGAACCTTGGTACTCATATGCTAGATTGAGGTTTGCAAAGTCATATGTAACATGGTTACTTGCACCAGAATCTGGATACCAGTTGGAATCATCTGAGGTCTCACTTGGAGTGGATTGCAGGTTTGTGGTGTTGATTGAGGGGTTCCTTCCTCTTCCTTGTGGCCCATTGTTGTTGTTGTTGTTCCCACTATTAGTGTTGGGAACGAAGTTTTGATCAAATCTGTGCCAACATCGATCAGCAGTGTGGCCTGTGTAGAAACACACTTGACATCTCATTCATCTATTTTCTGCTCTCCCTCTACCTCTGTTGGATCTTCCTCCTCTTGGAGCTCCTTGGTTCCTTCCTCTATTGGCTTGGAAATTTCCTCTGCCTCTTCCTTGTGTGTGCTCAGTGAAGTTGACACTTGGGTTTGAACCATCAAAACCATACTGGGGTTGTTCAAAATTCATGGCTTCAAGTCTGGTTTCAAAAGTGAGTAGGAGGGACTGCACTTCTCTGAGTGAGAGTGCTTCTGCCTTAGACATAATTGTGACCATCATAGGATTATACTCATGGCCCAAACCGGCAAGAATGTGCATGACTTGTTCATCTTCAGAAACCCTTTGGGCAGCAGCAGCTAGAACATCACAGCAGGACTTTACTTGATTCAGATAATCTCTCATGTTTGATCCTCCCTTCTTCATGGTCTGCAGCTTTAATTGGAACTGCATAATCTTTGCCTTTGATTGACTGGAGAAACCAATTGAAAGACTGTCCCAGATTTCTTTGGAGGTTGTCAGCCCAACTGTGCTCACCAAAATGGGTTCTGTGAGTGAAGACAAAAGCCAAGATGCCAAAATTTGGTCTTGTCTCATCCAAAGATGATACTCAGGGTTCTAAGATGGTTCAGTGGAGCTTTCCTCTAAAAATTCTTGTGGGATTTTCTGGTCAGAGGAGATGAAGTGATGGAGACCATACCCTTTGATAGCTGCCAAGGCTTGTTGATGCCAAACCAAGTAGTTGTTTTCTATCAGTTTGGAGGAGATCAGTTGGCTTTGAGGAAAGACGAGTTGATTCTGTTCAGATCCAGAGGAAGTAATGGAGGAAGAAGACATGGTGAAGAAACCGAAAAATAATAAGGTAATAATAAAAAGGATAGGGAACAGATCTTGGCACAGAGCAGCCCAGATTAGTCTGGTGCTCTGATACCATAAAGAAATTTTGGATCATTCATGGTGAAGAGTAATAAATGACAATATTGTATTTTTTGATATTCTTCGTTTTTTGTGAAAATACAGAGAAGATGATAATACCAATTACAAGGAGCACCTATTTATACTACCCTTAGAACAATCTAGAGAATGGACAACTCATAAATAAAACAAAAGGGATTACAGGCTAATATGCCAAATTGTTGCTGCATTTGTATCAGGTGCCCGTTAGCATCATTTGTCCTTTTGCATGCTGTCATGCAACACGTCTCCCTTATGCCTTTTTGATTCCTTTGTTAGTTGAGCTGGACCCACAGTCATACTATCCACATTTGTATCCTCGTCATTGCTTGCATGGCCAATGCTGACGTGTAAATCCCTTTGTCTTTTAAACAGTAATTAGATCTTGAAAAGTAAATAGAATTAATACAATATCTACAATACAAAAAACACATGACATTCAGAAAAAAAAAATATAAAAATAAAAAAATAGGCGACCTCATGCCAGCATAAGCCGGACCAATACCACGTGGAACAATCTTCTCTTTCTGCACATAATCAACACCTGCACCTTCATTAATTACACCATCACCAAAATTACGAACATCAATTGTTAAATTACTCAGCTTTGACATCAACTGTAAAATATTTTGTCCACCAACACCATCAGCCCCATCCACGATCAATTTGTCATTCACATTGTTACTAATATTTTCCTGTGGAATATAACGTAACAAGTACCAGAAAAATTATAATAAGAATCTAAATGGGTCCTCTTACAATTTTAATCTGGAAAAAAATCTCCTCAATTTAAAATGTGAGAACCTCCATGTTACTAGTAGTGTGATACTGATATTGAAACTAACCTAAAAGAAGTTAAAAGCTGGTCATAGTAATTTTTCTCATGTGCTTCCATGCCCTTATTTTTTGCACGAACCATCCAATGCAGTTGAGGAGTTGTCACGACTCCAATATCCGAGACCGGAACTCCTATGATTGACTTTATGCCCTGACATTAAAATCATAATAATTGCTTCGTTTATGCATAACATTGCAAGGTCTGTCCAAAAACAGGCCTATGCTTGAAAAAATAAAAATATAACTATACAAAAATTATAATTTATGTACTTAAACAGCCTATCTCTAAAGAGTTGCATGATAAGAAGCACAGGAACAAAAGATACAGATCCCAAAAGAAGTTAAAGCAAGATTAATACTTGTTTGGCAGCCTCAACAAGAAACATCCCACTTGGCCTAGTGTCCCTTCCCAAAAAAACTTCGGCTGCAGGGGCTCCTTCAAGTTTAATGGTTTCCTTCTTCACAAAATCATCCAACAACTGTTTCCAGCATCAACAAAGTCTTAAACAACCAAATAATACACATGACCGAGAAAAGAAGGACAAAGCAAAAAGAACTTCATTAATAACTGAATAATTAACTGTTGCCAATTAGCTAAAAGACAACCCACTAACCAACCTCCATCCCATAATTCATATGATATCGACAAAATACCGCAATAAAGATTGTATGTGCATACCTGAATGAGAGCAAGAGGGTCAGTGGCATTAGCAACTGTTTGATAGAAGAAGAAATCAGAGTTTAAGAAAATAAGAAAGCATCAGACATTGAAAGCTCAAAATGGATCAAACATTACCATCATGAAATGATAGAACACTTTTTCTGGTTCAAAACCCTAAGCTTACAAATGAGGTAAGAATATATTTATATATCAAAATATTTGTAATCCTACGGTCTCTATTTCATCTCAGCAACACTCATTTTCATTGGTATCATGTGTCTCTTTATCATGCTTTCTTCTCTTTCCTTCAGCTACTTCATTGGGACACGTCATTGACTCTCTTTGACTTTCCATGCTCATGCATGTCTTTTTTAGCTGAGGTGGCGGCTCTTCTTTGTCTGCATGTGTTTTGTTTGTGCAACATGAATAAGCCTTTCTTGCACATATGCTATCATCCTCCCTCAAGCCAAAGGAGGTGAAGGGAACCAATTGAAGAAGGTTCCTGAACCTAGTGAAGGCTTGCTGTGACAATGGTTTTGTAAAAACATCACCAATCTGGTGAATAGAGGGAACATGAAGGACCTTTAGAGTCCCCTTAGCAACTTTCTCTCTCACAAAGTGTAGGTCTATTTCTATATGCTTCGTACGAGCATGAAGCACTGGATTAGAAGAGAGAGAGATTGTACTAAGGTTGTCAACCCAAACAATGGGAGTGTGAGAACAAGGTGTGCTGAGTTCCTTTAGCAGAGATGAAATCCATGTGATTTCAGCTGAGGCTTATGCCAAACTCCTGTATTCAGCTTCTGTACTGGAACGAGAGATGGAGTGTTGTTTCTTTGAACACCAAGACACTGGATTTTTGCCAAGATTAATACAAATACCCGAGGTGGACCTTCTATCATCAAGGTCATTGGCCCAATCCGAGTCAGAAAACCCAGTTAAATGAGTGCTTGAGTTTTTGGTGTACTGTAAGCCAAGGGAGAGAGTTCCAGCAAGATACCTTAGTATCCTTTTAACAGCCTTCCAGTGAGTATCCTTTGGACACTGCATGTATTGACAGACCTTGTTGACACTGTAGGAGATGTCTGGTCTTGTAATGCATGCATATTGAAGGGAGCCAACAATGCTTCTGTAAAGAGTGGGGTTATCCATAGGAGTACCTTGATGTTTAGACAGGGAAGAGGTGGATATCAGTGGAGTAGGTAAGGGTTTGGCATCTATCATGTTAGTTTTGGTAAGGATATCTTTAATGTACTTAGATTGACTAAGTGAAAGACCAGCATCAGTATGGTTGATTTCAATACCAAGAAAGTGATGGACCTGACCAAGATCCTTTAAGGAGAACTGCTGCTTAAGAGTTCCAATGACAGTGGAGATCAAAAGCAATGTTGGATCCTGTGATGAGTATATCATCCACATAAACAAGAAGCCATATGCAAGAGAAGCTGGTCTTTTAATGTAAAGAGAGCAATCAGAAGTTGAGTTGTGAAAGCCAAGAGACAGAAGAGAGTGCTTAAGCTTATTAAACCATGCTCTAGGGGCCTGTTTCAGGCCATAGATAGACCTGTGAAGTTTTCACACAAGATGAGGATTTGTAGGATCTTCAAAACCTGGGGGTTGTGCCATGTAAAGCTCCTTTGTGATCTCCCCATTGAGGAATGCATTATTGAAGTCCAGGTGTTTGATGCACCACCCATAGGTAAGGGCCAAGGAGAGTACAATCCTAATTGTAGTGTCTTTACAACTGGACTGAAGGTCTCACAGAAGTCTATGCCTGCTATTTGACTAAAGCCCTTGGCAACTAGTCTGGCTTTGTGTCTAGCCACCCTGCCATCTGCATGCCTTTTTATCTTGAAGAGCCATTTATACCCAATGATTGACCTATTTGGTGGTGGAATGACAAGAGACCAGGTGTTGTTTTGAAGGAGAGCCTGATATTCTGACTCCATAGCTGCTTTCCAGTCAGGATGAGTAAATGCCTGTTTGTATGTTGATGGTTCCTCCTCAGTGAGTTGAGCAGTAAAGAGTCTTGGTTTAAGAGAACCTGTCTTTGACCTGGTTATCATATGGTGTTTAGCAGCAGTAGGATTAGTAGGAACAATGGAATTAGAGTTAGTGTCTCTCACAAATGGCAAATCAACATACAAAGGGATTGTAGAGTTAGATGGGTGATTAGACTGAGTAGAGGAGGAGGAGCTAGATGGTGATGAGTGCTGTGAAGTATGTTGTATATGAATAGGCGATGTAGTTGAGGGTGAGTGAGCTGGTGTGGGTAGTTGTGTGTTGTGAGAGGGAGTTGCAGCTGTAGGATTATGCACAATGGGAGGAGGTTGATTTAGAAATAAGTGTAACTGATCAAGAGCAGTATGTGGTGTAGTGGGTTGAGAGAAAGGAAACTGAGATTCATCAAAGATGACATCTCTTGTAACAATAACCTTACCTGATGGGAGGAGTATTTTGTAACCTTTATGTTGAGAGTTGAATCCAATAAAGGTTGAGGGTAAAGACCTAGGTTGTAACTTATGTTTGTTGTATGGTCTGAGGTTGGGGTAGCAAAGGCATCCAAAGACTTTGAGGGTTGAGTAGTTTGTCTTATGACCATATAGAGTTTCTAGAGGAGATGTAAAATGAAGGGATTTGACAGGAAGTCTGTTGAGGATATAAATGGCTGCACTGAATGCATCATCCCAGTACTTAAGAGGGACATGAGAGTGGTATAAGAGGGCTAGTCCCATTTCTACAATAGTCATGTGTCTCCTTTCTGCAACCCCATTTTGGGCAGGTGTATAGGGGCAAGAGAGTTTGTGATTGATACCTGATTCAGAGAAAACTGAAGTGAGTGACCTGAACTCCCCTCCCCAGTCACTTTGTATGGCTTTTATCTTATGATTGAGCTGATTCTCAGCTAGGTTTTTGAAGTGAAGAAAAGCACTCTTAACCTCTGACTTGAGTTTTAGAAAATATATCCAAGTAAATTTGGTATAATGGTCAACAAAACACACATAGTATTGAGAACCATTCTTAGATTTTATAGGTGATGGTCCCCAAACATCTGTGTGTACAAGTTCAAGTGGACAAGTATAAATAGCATCATAAGGAGCATAAGGTAAAGAGTGAGCCTTTGCTTGTTGGCATGAACCACAAATAAACTTGTCATTAGCAGAAACTGAAATATTACATGTTCTCATGACCTTAGAAACAACATCAAGAGCAGCATGTCCTAGTCTAGAGTGCCATAAGGTCAAATCATTGTTCTTATTTAAACTAGCAACATGAGCAGAAAATAAAGGATAATTGGTAGACTTCTGTGGCACTTGTGAAGAAGAGTTGGAACAGTTGATATCAAAGTTGTATAGTCCCCCTTTAAGTGAACCTTGGAGAAGAACCTGGTGTGTGGCTTGATCCTTGACAAAACAAATAGTTGGATAGAATTCAAAGTAGACTGAGTTATCATGAGCAAACTGAGAGACACTCCAAAGGTTCTTTGTTATGTTAGGAACATGAAGAAGATTTTTAAGGAAAAATGATCTAGAGCGGTTTTTGAAGTTTGAATTGCCAATATGTGAGATAGACAAACCTGAGCCATTACCAACATGGAGCTTGTTGTTGCCTTGGTACTCTGTGGAAAGGTTGAGATTTGATAGTTCATTGGTGACATGGTTAGTGGCACCTGAGTCTGCAAACCAGAATGAGTCTAGATTAGGATCTGGTGAGATGACCAATGCATTGTGAGAAGTGGACTGAGAAGGTGTGAGTAGTCCAGTGGGCTGAGTCTGAGCAGTCTGGGCTTGCTTTGTAGTAGGTGGTGGGTAGGTTGAGTCATATATGTGATAGCACCTTTCTGCAGTATGGTTGTTGAGGCCACAGAGTTGACAAGAGGGTCTGTTGTTGTTGTTCCTATAGCCTCTGCCACCTCTTCCTCTATAGGAGTTGTTTCTTCCTCTTCCTCTGTGAGATGGAGAGTAGCCTCTTGTGTTAGAGAAGTTGTGAAACTGGGATGTTGGTTTCTGAGTAGAGGTGTTTTGAGAAAGCACATTGACATTGGGAATGGAGCCATCTGGATTAACAATGGGGCTAGAAGTGACATCAAGCCTAGATTCAAGGCTGAGCAACATGGCATAGAGTTCATTCAAGGTATAGGGCTCCACTCTTGAGGTGACTGCAACCACTGCTGGGTTATATTCACTTCCTAGACCAGCAAGAATGTATAGGATTTGATTTTGCTCAGACACTGGCTCACTAGCAACTCCCAGTGCATCACAACAGGCTTTTACTTTGCCTAAGAATTCCCTCATTGTGGTAGAGCCTTTCTTCAGTGTTTGTAGTTGTAGCTTATGCTGCATAAGCCTGGCTTTGGACAGACCAGAGAAGTTGGACTCTAGAGATACCCACACATCTCGAGATGTGTTCTTACCAACCATCATGATGAGGAGATTCTCACTTAGTGAGGATAACAGCAAAGACATAAGGAGCTGGTCTTGTCTCAGCCATGTGGCATAGGCAGGGTTGAGGGTGGGCTGAGAGGTACTTTCAGATGAAATGAACCTCTGTGGTGGTACACAATCTGCTGCAATGAAATTTTCCAGTCCATAACCAACAATGGCACTGTAGGTTTGTTGTTTCCAAAGTAAATAGTTGGCATCTGTAAGCTTAATGGATATAAGCTGATGCTGAGGATGAATGAATGATGTGTTGTTGTTGTTGGATATGGGGTTACTGGTGCTATCAGAGGATGTTTGAGAAGACATTGCCTTAGAGAGATGATGGATCTGAGAATAAAGAATGGATCTGAGATTCAAAAATGCATATCAGGCATATGTAAGTTCAAAATCTGAGTTTAATGAATTGAAAAGGAGTTGTGATACGAGATTCAATGCAAGATCATGGCTCTTGATACCATGTTGGATAAAAGAAGAAATCAGAGTTTAAGGAAATAAGAAAGCATCAGACATTGAAAGCTCAAAATGGATCAAACATTACCATCATGAAATGATAGAACACTTTTTCTGGTTCAAAACCCTAAGCTTACAAATGAGGTAAGAAATATTTATATATCAGAATATTTGTAATCCTACGGTGTCTATTTCATCTCAGCAACACTCATTCTCATTGGTATCATGTGTCTCTTTATCATGCTTTCTTCTCTTTCCTTCAGCTACTTCATTGGGACACGTCATTGACTCTCTTTGACTTTCCATGCTCATGCATGTCTCTTTTAGCTGAGGTGGCGGCTCTCCTTTGTCTGCATGTGTTTTGTTTGTGCAGCATGAATAAGCCTTTCTTGCACATATGCTATCAGCAACGTCATCGGCAAATGGCTCCCACTGCTGAGTCAGCATCCCGCCTGACGGGTCCGCCCCTTTGATCCCGTTATCTGTTACAGTGTTGTGTGAGGTCGTTATCATGAGGCCGATTGTAGACCTGGTCTGAATGGACCTCAATGCCGCCAGTATTCCCACACGGTACACGGCTTGACTCAAGCAATGATGCGTCGGTTCTGAACCCCGAGGTGCCATATGAAAATTTCACTCCTTCCAGAAGAAAAAAAAATAATTTAAAGATTATTGAATAATAAATGTACAAGGTTTCTTGGCAATGGAAAATTGTCCATTGTCCATTGTTGTATCTGGTGGAGGGGGAAATCGAGAGGATGATTCGAGGAGGATTGATTTCTGTAGTTGGTTCATTCTCCGTAACTTAATATGATGTACAAAGAAATAAAGATCTCATTTTTGCTTCATTTTATCTTGGTTATTCTATTCAAATTCATAAGATTATAAGAGTTTCAGAACGCGAAAGTTCAAATTATGGAACTCTGGCAAGCATCGTATATCCAGATAGGTAGCATTGTTAAGGACATGTGTTTTCATACAAGCATTAATAATACTGTAAGAAAGAATTGAAAAAAATCCTACTGATTCTAACATTGATCAATTGAGATAAATCAGGAACGAATCGATTCAAAGAATTGAAGAATTTGAGGTAGCCTGTTATTTGGGTGGCTATACGAGATGGATTATGTGTGGAAACTGGGCCTGCCTGCAGTGAATAAATCCTCAAACAATTTCCCAAATCGACCCTCTACTTGCGCTCAAGTGAGGTGAACGATGAAAACATGAGAAGGATCGGTCTTTGGATTGCCCATTATGTTGCCACATAGCACAAATAAGGGAAAAATTAACCTCCCAAACTATGTTAATTTTTAGAGTTTGTCTTACAAACTTTTTTTCTTGACAATTTGTCTTCTATAGTCGATTGAAAACCTTAATATGTCACAAAAAGTTTTTAACTCAATTAACGATCAATTTTAAATTGATCTTTAAAATGAATTTAGGGCTTTTAAACCACATAGCGAGAGGAACAAAATGAGGTATGGTTTGTCGATTTGTGAAAATTGATGTCTCTGTAATCAATCGACGAAGATAGTAGAAGCACGTGTGTATAGAAAAAATTTCAATTAAAGTTTTCAGATAATCAAGATATCTGATTTTTGATTGGGAGGTGTCATTTGAAAGCTTGCATGACCAGTTTCTAATGCATAAATCTTATGGAAATCCAACTGTCGAACAGTAGTTAGAATTATACTGATCAATAGTTAGCTTTTTTTTTAGGCTACTAATGAAAATCCGATCATTGGATTTTCATAAGACTTGCCCATTATAAAATTGGTCCTGCAAGCTTTCAAATGACATCTCTCAATCAAAAATCGGATATCTTGATTATCAGAAAACTTGAATTGAAATTTTTTCTATACATACATGCTCCTACTATCTTCGTTGAAGTATCAATTTTCAAAAATCAACAAACCATACCTTATTTTGTTCGTCTCGTCATGGGCTTTAAAAGCCCTAAATCAATTTTAGAGATCAATTTAAATTTTTTTCGTTAATTGAATTAAAAACTTTTTGTGTCATATTAGGGTTTTCAATCGAGAGGCAAATTGTTGATTTCCATTACTATGGGAGACAAATTATTAAGAAAAAAAGTTCGTAAGGCAAACTCTAAAAATCAGCATAGTTTGGGAGATATCAAAAAAAATTTTCCCCACTTTTTCTAGTGGCCAAAAAAAATTATAGACGTTTTTTCTAATGTAGAAATACTTCTAGACAACTTCTATTATTTATTATATTATTTATTCATTTTTTTTATTTTTTTCACCTAATTATAATTTTACACATGCCAAATTAAACCATTTTTAATATTAACCATTTGGGTGTTCAAGAAGACTTGGAGAAGCACCAAATCAATAGTAGATGCAGCAATGCGGGATTGGAATGAATATTGTTTGTCTGCTGCCTTAGTAATCTTAGCTTTTGTATAGTCTGTTGATGTTTTCTTCCTTTGGACCTGCTGTTTTTTCTCTTCAGTATTGTTTGTTTCAATTAGTTAGTTCTAATTGAAGTCCTAATACGCCCGCTTGGTGCAGTGGTAGTCCTTCTTTTTGGAAGTGCCTTGCTGTTGTTTGGCTTGCTTGGCCCAAAAATTGATTGCCTTCCTTTTGGATTCAGTGAGGTTAGCACTGCCATTAGGTAGGACTCAATTTTTGTTTTGTATAGGTCCTTTAGAGCATCCTATGATGACTCTCCTTGTCTTTCTTTTGGAAGTCCTTGGGCTAGTTGGCCCCATCTCTGTAAATATCCTTTTGAGCTATAAAATCTATGGTTATGAAAGAATGGGTATTCTTCTTTGTCTTTTTGCTCATAATATATATTTTTATAAAATTGAATTGATGTCTCTATTTAGCATTCTGATTTGACTATTGAGATTCTAAAATTATATTTAATTATTTGTATATATGAAGGTTCATTTGTTTTTTCTTTTTTTTGGGTCCTCATTTTCTTTACTGGTAACAACTTAGTGTAATTACAAAAACATAGATTAACAAATATAATACTAATATTTTACATGTTCACCTTAGGCTCACAATAAATCTACGAAAGGATAAAACAATGCGTGAATAAAATTTTTTTCCAGAACGTATATCCCTTTTTCATATACTTGATTAATACTAGTACGTATAATTTCAGTATGTTAACAAGTTCCATTGTTTTAAGTTTCACAGATTGTTCTTCCAATTGAAACATGAACCCAAACATGAATAATAATCAAAACTCAAAACTTTTGACTCACACATATATATGCCCCTGTGCTCAAACTCAAAGCACCAAAATATCATCAACAACTTAATCTATCAAACTACTCAATACCCAAGACTCTATCTGAATCCCCAGCTCAAAATCATCGACTTCACGGTCGAGCCACGACCCGTTTTTGCTGCTCATGTCTTTACCAACAATTTCATCGACCATAAAATGTCCCATTTATTAAAAGAGCTAACCATCCTTGCCATGTCACTTATGATGAAGAAGACAAAACAGTCCATGCAGCAGCAAAAAGGAATCCCACGTGGAAAAGTGGAATGCATGACAATGCACAAACCCTAGAAAATATGAACCGTACACGTGTCCCTTTACCTTTAGCTCTCAGTTAGATGTAGCAGCAGCTTGTACATATTCATTAGCTTGAGTGTAAAGAAATGCAGATCTGAGAATACAGAAGATAGAACAGTATTGCATTGAAAAATGAAAAAGCTTCTTTCTATTCCTATGTTCCATCCATCTTCTCTTTATCCTATGTTTTATCTCGTTTCCTTTTATGGTATCATAGCTTAGGCTCTGATTACCCTTGTTCTGGTTGGCATTTATTGCTTTCACATGGCTCTCACTACTCAGCCATGTGAGCCTCTTATCCATCTGCAGAACCAGCTCATTTCCACCAAACTAAATGAAATTAATTTCTTGATATGGGAGCAACAGATCTTGACAACAATCAGAGGGTATGATTTGATTGGTTTTTTGAATGGAGAAACTCCAGCACCTGATAAGCTCACTCGAGATCCAACAACCAATGAGTTCACAGTCAACAAATCATACCTCAGTTGGGTCAAGCATGATCAACTCATAGCCTCGTGGCTCTTATCCTCTCTATCAGAAAGCATCTTAATCACTACAGTTGGGCTCAACACAGCAAAAGAGATCTGGGACTGCTTGAAGAAGGGTTTTGCAAGCCATAACTTAGCAAGGCAAATGCAGCTGAAACTAGAGCTTCAAACCCTAAGAAAGGGAAACCTCAAGATCAGAGAATATTACAACAAGATAAAGGGGATCTGTGACATGTTAATTGCTACTGGCCAAAGGATAGAAGAAAATGACCAAGTTCTCCATCTCTTATCAGGTTTGGGTCAAGAATATAACCCTGTTGTGGTCAACCTGACCTCTAGAAAAGAAAAATGCACCATGATGGAAGCTTATGCTATCCTATTGAGTTTTGAAAATAGATTGGAAAGTATGGAAGCTGTCACTGAGTCAGAAGGATCTTATTTGGCAGCAAACTTGGTTACTCACCCTCATTCTAGGGGAAGAGGTTCCTCTAATAATAGAGGACGGTCTGGAAATCAGTTTAGCAATAGAGGGAGAGGCTCAGGCAGGAATGGATCTAATAGAGGTAGAGGTGGAAGATTTTTTCAAAACCGGCCAAGGTGTCAGATTTGCAATTACAACAATCATACTGCAAAGGAATGCTATTACAGATTTGATTCTACCTTTGTCTCAAGAAATCCAAGCAGCTAATCTCCTTCAAACAGCTCAGTGAATGCCAGTGATAGCAGTTATTCCTCAACTCAAGGTTACCCCTCAGCTCATGTAGCAAGTTATGGCTCTCAGAACAATGACATGTCACAGGACTTCTACTAGTACCCTGATTCAGGAGCTACTCACAACCTCACTAATGATTTGAACAATCTCAACCTTGCTAGTGACTATGCTGGTTCAGAAAGGGTTCAAACAGCCAGTGGTGCAGGTATGGATATTGCCCATTTTGGTAGCTCTATGTTAAATGCCCTACTTCAAACAGCTCTCACACATTCCTTCTCAATAACCTCATGCATGTCCCACATATCACAAAAAATCTGATCAGTGTCTCTAAGTTTGCCAAAGACAACTCAGTCTTTTTTGAATTTCATCATGATTTCTGTTTTGTGAAGGATCTCAAGACCGGGGACCCCCTACTCCAAGGCACACTTAAGGATGGCATTTATTGCTTCAATCTTGTTAAAACTGAAGATGTTTCCCCTTGTTCAAATCTTGCTGTTTTGCCTTCTTGTTTGCAGACTAGTTTAAATTCCATCGACTCTAAAAATATTGTTGGTTTGAGTATTTGGCACCAAAGACTTGGTCATGCCTCTTATAATATTGTTAAGGCAGCCTTAAATAATAGCAAAATTTCTTTTCTTGATGAGAAAGTTGATACTTTATGTGATGTATGCATGCAATCCAAGTTTCATAAACTCCCTTTTCACAATTCAGAAATTAAAGATTGCAAACCTTTTGACCTTGTGCATTCAGATCTTTGGGGTCCTGCTCCTGTCACTTCCCATAAAGGTTTTAGATACTATGTTAGCTTTATTGACCATAGTACTAGTTTTGTCTGGTTCTATCTCCTAAAATCAAAATCAGACACAGTCTCAACTTTCCTTCATTTCACTGCTTTAATTCAAAACCAATTTGGTTCCAGCATTATGACATTTCAGTGTGATGGAGGAGGGGAGTTTCTAGCTCTCAAACCTGTTTTTGCCCAAAAAGGGATCACTTCTCACATCTCATGCCCTTACACACCTGAACAAAATAGCTTGGCTGAGAGAAACCACAGGCATGTGGTTCAAGTGGGCCTTTCTCTTCTTTTTCAATCTAAATTACCATTCTCATTTTGGGATGAAGCTTTCTCTAGTGGTGTTTATCTCATCAATAGGACACCCAACAAAGTCCTACACTACACTTCTCCTTTTCAGTCTTTACATCACCAAGAAATTGATTACCATAAACTGAAAGCTTTTGGTTGTTTATGTTACCCTCTTCTCAAGCCATATAATAAACATAAACTTCAACCTAAAAGTCTTGGTTCAATTTTCATTGGGTATAGTCCCCATCACAAAGGATACAAGGTTTTACTCCCTGATAAAAGAATCATCATTTCCAGACATGTCCTTTTTTATGAACATATTTTCCCTCTTGCAGCTGTTTCTGCAGATTCATCTTCAACTTCTACACCTCAATCTTGTCCTCCATCATTCTTTCCTAATCCACCTTTTATACACCCTAATGATGTTCCTCATGTTTATCCATCTGTCCCAAATTCTCCTCAATCACCTGGTCCTGTCATTCACACAAATCCAAATACACCTCCCACCACACCCATTATTCAGCCACAACTATCTTCTTCTCACAGACATCATTCATCTTCTTCCTCTGCATCTCACTCTACTCAGTCATCTAACACATCTATTCCTATTGGGCAAATATACATAGACCTACCTTTGGAGCAATGCAATGCCTCTAACCCTGCTACAGGTTCCCACCACATGGTCACAAGGTCCAAAGCAGGCATTTTCAAACCAAGGGTGCTCACATCTTCAGTTATCCCTGATTCTTCTTCCACAGAACCATCTACACTTGAGGAAGCACTTCTCTCCCCATCTTGGTATGCTGCCATGCAACAAGAGCTTCATGCCTTACTGAAAAATAATACATGGACTTTAGTTCCTCCACCACCCCATCATAACATCATTGGTAGTAAGTGGGTTTACAAGCTTAAAACAAACCCAGATGGCAGCATTGCCAGACACAAAGCCAGGTTAGTAGCTCGAGGCTTCACACAATGTCCTGGCATAGACTACACAGAAACATTTAGCTCTGTTGTCAAACATACTACCATAAGAATCATCTTATCCATAGCTGTCTCTCTTGGTTGGAATATTCACCAGATAGATGTGGACAATGCCTTCTTGAATGGTACTCTTGACACTGACATTTATATGTCTCAGCCACCAGGTTTTGAATCCACTGCTACAAAGGGCCTTGTATGCAAGCTCAATAAATCTCTCTATGGCTTGAAACAGGCCTCAAGGGCTTGGTCATCTAAATTAGCATCCATTTCTTGAATCTGGGTTTCATTTCTTCTAAAGCTGACACCTCTCTCTATTATAAACACTCTCAAGGCAGCTCACTATTCATATTGGCATATGTAGATGACATTCTCATTACTGGCAGTCATCCACATCTAATTCAGTCTACCATCCAATCCCTTTCCAGTCTCTTTTCACTGAAAGATCTTGGTCCTTTACATTTTTTCTTGGGTATTCAAGTATCTCATACCTCAACAAGCCTTCTTTTGGATCAATCCAAATACATTGATGAGATTCTTGATAGAGCTGGAATGAAGGGGGCAAAGGGTATTAATACTCCAATGGTTAGCCATCCACCTCTATCAAAATCAGATGGTCAACCTATGCACAATGGCCAGCTTTATAGACAAATAGTTGGGGCACTCCAGTATGTGACCCTTACAAGACCAGATGTGTCATTTAGTGTTAACAAAGCCTGTCAGTTTATGCACTCTCCATTAGATAAACATTGGAAGGCAGTGAAAAGAATTCTCAGGTACCTTGCAGGGACAAAAGACTATGGCCTGAGAATAGATAAGTGTAAAGATTTTGAGATCACAGGCTTTTCAGATGCTGACTGGGGTTCAGATGTAGATGACAGAAGGTCCACTAGTGGTATGTGTGTTTACATGGGGAAGAATCTCATTTCTTGGAGCTCTAAGAAACAGGCAGTGGTATCTAGATCCACCACAGAAGCAGAATACAGAAGTGCAGCTCAAGTAACTTGTGAAATCATGTGGATGCATTCTCTTCTCAATGAATTGAAAATCAGTTTCAGAAAAACAAGTGTAGTGTGGGTTGATAACAGGGGTGCAGTATGCCTTACTGGAAATCCTGTCAACCATTCAAGGACAAAACACCTAGAACTTGATCTTCATTTCATTAGGGAAAAGGTGGAGAATAAGGTGATAACAGTCCAGCATATTCCAGCTGTGGAGCAAGTTGCAGAAATCTTTACAAAAGCTCTTTCAGGGCAATTCTATGCATGGCTAAGAAACAAATTAATGGTTACTTCAAAATGATGCATAGAATTGAAGGGGGCTATTAAAAGAGCTAACCATCCTTGCCATGTCACTTATGATGAAGAAGACAAAACAGTCCATGCAGCAGCAAAAAGGAATCCCACGTGGAAAAGTGGAATGCATGACAATGCACAAACCCTAGGAAATATGAACCGTACACGTGTCCCTTTACCTTTAGCTCTCAGTTAGATGTAGCAGCAGCTTGTACATATTCATTAGCTTGAGTGTAAAGAAATGCAGATCTGAGAATACAGAAGATAGAACATTATTGCATTGAAAAATGAAAAAGCTTCTTTCTATTCATATGTTCCATCCATCTTCTCTTTATCCTATGTTTTATCTCGTTTCCTTTTACCATTGAACCGCAACAAGAAATATCTTTGTACACATTTTCAGCCAACACTTCATTTCTTTTAACAACAAGCGTACCCTTGGCCCATAATTTATATCCTCCCTTTGCAAATTGTCTGCACCTCAAGTCCAAGCACTCGTTCACGCAGTCAAACATAAGCCTTCGATCTAATCTTGGAATACTTACAACACCATGCGAATGCCCTTCTTCTCGAGTTTCGAGTTGTTTGAAAACACGAAGCTTTATGATCTCACTAGTTTTGCCGAGTGTGTAGTCCTTCAACATAGGTTCGATATTTCTTAGTAGCTTCTTTATGTACAATAGTTCCAAATTTCTTGGTTTATTATTATGGTAAGGTGAATTTAAGGCGACACTTCCCGTTTTGGATGCTTTCGAAGTAGAAGAAGCTGAGTCTGATAAATTAGCTTCTTGAAATTGAATGGACGAATACTGCTTGCCACCTGTAAATTTGTAGAAGTTAAGGACTGTTGATGAAATCTTGTGCATTTAATTTAAAGGTACTGTTTTTTTCGTATCTATATCTATCTATATCTATCCATCTATACTGTTATAAAAGTACCAATGAATCTGTAAATCTATATCTATCTATACTATTATAAAAGTACCAATTAATCTGTAAAAATATAATATGCCTAAAATAACCTTATTTTGTCATCTTTATAATGACAATTTTGTAATTTAATAATACCCAAAGAAAGACCAGCCCCCAACAACTCTTCACGCGATCTCTGTATCCAAAACAAAAAGGGTGTTGTTATTCACCGCCCCCCATTTTACTAGTCACCGCCCCCCTTGGACAATTTTGCCCTTCTCATTTTTTCTAAACATCTCAGAGGAAAGTGTACGGTGAAATGTCGTCAAATTCGGAGGTACGAAAAAATACGTGTACGGTCGCCGGTTCCGGACGGGCTAAAAGCCGTCCGGACGCCGGAACCGGACGGACTAAAAGCCGTCCGGACCGGCCGGCCGGACGACAAGTAATACCGGCCGGAAAGCACGGCCGGACGGACCGTTGCTGTCCGAACCGGCCGGCCGGACGGCAAGAAAGCCGTCCGGAAACGACGGCCGGTCGGAACCGGTC